GGAGAAACTTAGCAGGTCTGGCAGCAACTGTTGAGAGAAGGACAATTCTGCCAGACCTGCTAAGTTTCTCCACAACTTCTGGTTTTGTTTCAGATTTCCAGTTTCTGCATTTCTTTGTTTTATTCATCTGTTATCCCTCCTGCTTGCTTCCCAGAACCTTTAACTAGTTATAGTTCTTGATCTAACTCCCTTTCAATAGAATATTAAGCTGTGCTTCAGCGACGGATTTCTCTGCTCCAAACGTGATTCAAGCTGTCCAGCACGTAAAGAACATTTTAAGCTAACTTCAGTTCTTCCTAGAAACAGTCCATCACTGTTTGCCCTCCATTTCTTCACCTTGAAAACATTTCTTGGGTCACCCTTCTAACCATCTCGGTTTTAGTGAAAGAAGCCCGAACTTTGTGAAGATATAATTAGGAATGAAGGTTAGGATTATATAGACTTGAAGTTTATGCAGCATATTTTCCATTACTTTTATGATCTCATTTATTACTGAAGCTGCACACAGTATTACTGACAGCAGTCCAATTAAGGTCTTGTGCAAGTTCAGCCTATACGCCATACTTTTGTATTCTGTGCCTCCAGATTAAAGTTCAGGGTTTTTTTTTTATTGTTCCATCTCCTGAAAGAAAGTGGTTACAGTACCAAAGAAGGCCACTGAACTGAGTGCTTTGCGAGCCAATTCAGAGGACACTTAAAAGACAACCACATTGCTATGAGTGTGGAGTCACGTGTAGGTCAGACAAAGTAAGGTCACCTTCCTTAAAGGACGTTTCCTGATAGTTTTTTTTTCAATGACAATTGATGGTTATCATGGTCACCATTTTTTAAAATTTACATTCCACCAGTTGCCATGACTAGATTTGAATCCCAAAGCATAAACCTGAGGTTCTGGGTTAGCAGTATCATCCACTAGCACTATACCATGCTGTCCTCTTTAAAACAGGTTATTTATAACAGGTTTAAGGTCACCACTCCCTGTGATGATGCTGTCACTTTATGAGACTATTTGTCCTGTTTTTTTTTTTGAAGAGTTTGTAAGGCATGAGGTAACAAACTATCTCTAAGAAAGTAAACAATTTGTGAGGCCTTGGGTTTTGTTTAAAAGTTGGAACAAGGGAAGCAGCTCTCTCAGACCAGGCTTTCTGGTTTTTAGATTGAGTTTTAGGCAGAAACCTTTGGGGTCTCAAAAGAGTTGGAAATTTCAGTGAATGTCTCCTAGTTACTCCTTTCTCTGAATTTTCTTGATGCTTTTTTCCCCCTCATGGATTGGAGAACAGCATGTGAGAATCTGTGTCTGAATTTGCCTTTTTGCCAAGTGTGTTTGAGATGTTACTATATTGGAACAATTAATCAGTAACAGGTACTGTATTTATTATTCGGTTAAGTTTTCCAATAGAGTTGTTCTAATTCCTCTTTCTTTTGTTTGTATTTTAACCATAGTGTTTAAATAAATTGTGTTTTGGTTAACATCGAGTAGTTTGACCAGTTGCATTATATCTGGAACATGGCACTTCACATCTGCCTTTAAAATAAGAAAAAGCTAGGGTCTCGGCTACCTTCTCAAAATGTATTGGGGGTCTGGTCTGGTCCATAACGCACCTTTTCAAGGGCAACTGGGGATGAGCAATAAATGCTGGCCAGCCAACGATATCCACAATCCACAAATGAGTAAAACCAAACTTGTTGCTTTTGCACTCCAAGGCCCTATTTATAATGCTGAAGATTTTCTATACTTAATTAACGGCTTTCTCAACCTGCCCATCACCTACAGTGATTTGTGCAGGTACATGTTCCAATCTCTCTGATTCTGCCAGCCCTTGAGGATTTTTAAATTTACAAATACAAAACTCTTTTTTGCTTTCTATACATCCAAAGTAAACTATTAAAAAATTTATTGTTTTCCTGTTCTTTCAAAAAAATTACTTCACAGTTTGTGGATGGACCACCTATCGGCCAACTTATGTCTCCTTCAGAGTTTCACAGTTTTGCCTATCATTTGACATTCAAATTTGTGTCATTTGCAAGTTTTGCTATTATTTCCCACAGAGTCAGATCATAAAAGCATGAAATATTAAAGCACAGGAGTCCATTCAACCCATCAAGTCTGTGCGACTCTTTTGAAGAGCTGCCCTCCATTGTTCTTTTCTCATATCACTGCTGTTTGAATCTGTTTCCACTGGGCACCCAGACTGTGCGCATTACAAATTCTAACCACTTGATACATGTTCATGTCGCTCCCTGTCTCTTGTCCATCACTTTAAATCTGTCTCTAATTTTTACTTATTTAAGCATTTGAAATAATTTCTATATTATCTAAACCCCTCATTGTATTAAAGCCCTTCTTAAATCTCCTCTTCGTTTCCCTTATTAGGAGGACAATCCCAGCTTTAGTCTCTCCACATTAACTGCGGAGCTGTATTTTTAAGTCTTCTTTGAACCTTTTCCAAAGGCTTTCCATTTGTCCTAAAGCGTGATGACCAGAATTGCTGCCGGTTGATTGGAGCCAGTGTTTATACTGGCTTAACTTATCCCTATTCTATCTGTATCTGCCTGTTATTTATAAAGTGTGGGAGCTGATGTACTTCGTTGACTGACTGATTTATTAATCTTTCAGAACTTGGTACACAGTCTCTCTCTGTCTCGTACTCATTCTAAAACTTTGCAGTTAGCACATTTTGTCTTATACTTCCTGCCAAAATGTATCCACTCTGATGTTTCAGCATTGAATTTTGTCTGTCATGTGTCCACCCTTCCCATCAGTCAGCCTACATCCTTTCAAAATCTATTGCCGTCTTTCTCGGTTTTTGCTATACTTCCAAATTTGTTGTCACCAGCAGGTTCTGAAATGATACTGTGTATCTCCCAGTCAATAATGTATGGGTGAAATGTAAAACAGAAATGCTCCTAGTATTGAACCTATGGGGGGCTTCACTTATGTGTATGTGTAGTTCACGATATTCAAGCAGTTCAACATTTAATGAATCAGCCCTTATTCACTGTGCCTGTTAATTCTGAGGAACTTCCTTTCATCATACCTTGCTTTCCATCCTTCAAATGTTTTTCAATTCATCTGGTCACTTTACATTTCAGTCCATTCAGCATTACTTTAGCTTTTGATGTGTTTTAAATCTGTAAACTTGTTAAAATTGTGATTTACTTTGTCAACAGTTGGAGAATGGTGGCACATGGCATAATCCAGAAGCACCAGAGGATTATGGGACTGAAAAGGATAAATCATATTGCCCATTCTTTCTGAAGACTGGATCCTGCAGATTTGGTGATAGGTGAGAAAAGTATTGAAATCTGGACGTAACTGGGCTTCCAGAAAGACCAGAGTGTCTACCTCTTTGTTCAAAGCACACCCACTGCCTGTTAAAGATACGATTTGCTGCCCAGATGAAGATTTGCTTTCCTTTCAAAGCCATTCCAGTGATTTCTGCAGATCAGAAAAGGTGCTCTTGAAGCATTCCTAGGATCATTGGCTTAACCTATGAGAAAAGGTTGAACAGTTTGGACTTATACCTGCTGGACTTTAGCAGAATGGGAGGTGATCATAATAAAGCATCCTCAAGGGACCTGTCATCATGGAAGATAATTCTTGTGGGAAAGGCCACATCTAGGAGACACAGTTTAAGAATAAAACAGATTTTGAAACATATGAGAGAAGCATATTTTTGAGAGTGGTTAGTCTGTAGAATTCTCTTCCCAGAAGCAGTTGAGACAGGTCATGAAATCTTTTCAAGGCTGAATGAGAATCTTGATTGACGAGGAAGTCTAGGGTAATCGAGTGGCAGAGGGGAAAGTGGAGTTGAGACCACAACCAAGTCTGCAATGATCTTGTTGAATGGTGAAGCGGGTATGATTGGCCAAATGGCCTACTTCTGCTTCTGAGTTCTACGCCCTTGGTCACTGAGCTGAAAGGCCTGAAATGATTCCTGCAATGACATTGTTTGTTTTCATCCAGAGGTTTGGATCAATCTGGTCTTCAGTGGTAGGAATTCCGATTATTGTGTGTGCTCCATATCTCACTGGTATTGTCTTTTCTAAAGGTCATGGGCTCCAGGTTTAATCAGTCTTAAAAGACTTCGTTTTTTTTCAGTGTCTCAGTTAACAACCTCCGGTATGTGAAAATGAAGCCCAGAAACAGCAGCACTTCTCTTTTTAGGACTCAGGATTTTTTTTTTATATAGCTGCATCTATATTTCTATATATTATTGCTGGATATGACATAATTTAAAGTGCACCTACTACCCCTGGTTAGGTATATCCTTCCTGGTATTGTAGAATAGTTGTGAACTGTGTTTTGAAATTCAGAGGTACAGAATGTTGGTGTAAAATTAGTTGTCAGTTTAGGCATCAGCTCTGATTCTAGCCCATTTATTGCTGTTTTTAGAGAGGTCACTGAGAAGTTAGAATGCTGAATAATTAGATTGGTTATTTTACATGGCAGCAAATGTTTAATTTGAATATGATTAACATTGAATAATTTGTGGTGTTATGGAAACTCAACAAGTGGCATCAGTGACTCAAGATACAAACAGATAAACAAGGAGCAGGAGGAGGCTCCCTCCAGTCTGTTCCATGATTTAATATGATCATGGCTGATCTAATTGTAACCTCAGATTCACATTCTTACCACTCCTGATAACTTTTCATTCCCTTGCTTGTCAAGAATCCCACCACCCCATGTTAAAAATATTCAAGAACTTTACTTCCAATAGCTTTTCAGGAATAGAGTTCCAAATAATTAACCTAAAATCTGTTTTAAGTGGCTGACCCTGGTTATAGATTCTGTGCACATCTACCCTGTTGAGACCGCTCAGGATTTTGTTTGTTTCAATTCGATTGTCCTATTCTTCTGAACATCAGCTGATACAAGTCTAACCTGTCGTCACAAGATAACCCATGGTATTAATCCACTAAATAATATTCTCTGAACTGCCTCCAATGCATTTAGTATTTTCTTAAATAAGGTGGCCAATACTGTGTAGTTTATCCCCTGCAATCTCACCACTGCCTTGTATAATTGAAGCATAATCTCCCTACGTTTGTATTCTATATCCTTCACATTCAGTGATTACTTTCTGTTAGCTTTTCTAATTACTTGCTCTACCTGCATACCAGTCTTTTACGATTCACACACAAGGACATCTAGACCTCTCTGAATCTCAGAGCTGTGGAATATCAAACCATTTGATATTATACATTTTTACTCTTCTTGCCAAAATGGACAAAGTTGGCTTTAGTCACTTCATCCAAGTCATTTATATAAAGTTGATATAGCAGCGCTGGTCCCTCTGGTACATCACTAAATACATCTTGGCAAGCTGGAAAACACCCTTTTATGCCTAATATCTACTCCCTGTTAAGTAGCTAATCTTCCATGCCAATATAAAATCCCTACAGTGCGGATGGACACTGTTCAACCCATCGAGACTGCACCGTCCCTGCATCCCACCCAGATACAGTGCCCCACTCCTTCCCTGTAATTACCATGGCTCAGATCCCTGGATACTACGGGGCAATTTAGCATGGCCAATTCAGCCAAACTGCACACCTTTTGACTGTGAGAGGAAACTGGAGCACCTAGAGGAAACCCACACAGAAACAGGGAGAATGTGCAGACTCCATACAGACAGTCACCCAAGACTGGAATTGAACCCTGGTCCCTGGCGCTGTGAGGCGGCAGTGCTAACCACTGAGCCACTATGCCACCTAAGTACCATACATTACTGGTGCCTCTTTATCCACAGCATGTGTTACCTGAAAAAATGTTGGAAGTGGAGTCATATATGTCTATCTTAACTCACTAACAAGCTGGATACATCTATATGGAACTCCAGAAGGCGGTTGACGGCAAGCTATGGCAGCTAGTCGGTTGCTTCTTCAATAATGGGTCAGGGCTGATTGAGGAGGTGGTTAACGTGCTTGTTCCTCATTTTCTGTGAGTAGTGATGACCTGGCCACGCCAAGGATTTGATGATGAACTAGTCGTACAGCATCGCAGAATCTCTTCTAGACTTTGTGGTCTACATACGACTGATGTTCATCTGCTTTCTGATTCAGCCAAGTATCTTGTATCTCTTTGAACTACGATCTTGGGAGTTTTGAAATCAATTTTGAGTCTTGGGAGAAGTTAAACAAATAAAAAATGGTGCAGCTTTCTTTAAAAGCAAGTGCTTACAGGATACAGAGAGAAAACCAGCCGAGGAAATCCTAATCCAGCTACCTGTCCAAAACTTCATCATCTGCAGCATCTGGTCTTATTTGCAGCAGAATCTGGACTTTTTGGGAAACGGTTCAGCCCTAGCAGTTATGTATGTGCCCACTGGAGCCCTGCCCAGCACCCCAGATGATGAACATGGTCACTTTTACTTCAAAGGGGAAACAAAATAGAAGATTGAGACTGAATAGAAGATTGAGAACAGTGAAACTGTTTGTTCTGGGACAGGGAATCCAGATAATCAGGGCTTAAACATAAAAGGATAGCTAATCCATTGAGGGATAAAATCACCATTATCTCTCTGACAAAGGAAAGTGGAAATCTATAACTCTCTCCTAATGGACTGTGGGCTCTGGGATCACTCAAAGCTTTCAGGACTAAAGTCAACATATTTGAAGGAAAGGCTGGTGAACAGAGTCAAATACAGATCATTGTGATCTCATTATGGTTAACAGTCTTGAGGGGCTGAATGGACTCCATGTTGCTAAGTATATTTGTGTGTATTCTGTAATCTAAATTGCTGTACCCACCACAAAAATAAGATGCCTACCGGGGTTCACTTGTGTAATGATTATACAAACCAATTCATCATGTGATGCTAATTACCATTTTAAAGTAGTAGATGGTTGGGTTGGACACCATTAGTTTGGAACTGGAAATTCTGTGATAATTCACACTGTTATCCCTTGGCTGTCTTCGTATAACAGAATTGTTCATTTATTTCTTACAGATGTTCCCGTAAACATGTATACCCAGCATCAAGTCAGACCCTCCTTATCCGAGCCATGTTCATTACCTTCGGGATGGAGGAGAGTAGGCGTGATGATTATGATACAGATTCTGGGCTGGAGCACAGTGAGGAGGACATTTACCAGCAGTTTGTGGAATTCTATGAGGATGTACTGCCTGAATTTAAGAGCGTTGGGAAAGTGATACAATTTAAGGTACTTTATAAATTCATTTATGCTTCATATTATAAATAATTTACAGTTGTAAACATTTGAATGTTTCTGCTTGGAATAAGCCCCTTGATTTTGCCCTATCAGCATATCTTACAAGCACTTCTTCCCCCAAACATTTATTTCCCTTCCCCTTTATGTATATTGTTGCTATTTGCTTAAAGATCTTCTCCCAGAATTTTCATGGTTTTATTAGTCACCATCTTATTTAATGGCCCCCAATTTCAGACTCCCCACCCCAGTGGAAACATCACTCCATGCGAAGCCTACTCAAATTCAACTTCTTGTGCACTTGAAGAGAGACAGTTATTAGGCGAACTTGCTCAGGATTTAACTGTAATCGCAGTATTAATGCAGTTGTCTTTCACATTAAATTGTAAATTGTTCGGGCAACTCTTATCTACTGTAGCAAGCTATAAGTTTCTATGTATTCTTCCCAAATTTAAGATGTTCACTATTATTACAATCCCTGTGGAGTCTAATAACTTTCAAAATGAAATGCATTTCGCAGTGACTAGTGGAAGTAACCAAAGGTCAAAGTATTACTTAACAAACAACTAATGCACCAAGCTAGAAGGTACTTTTACATGAACTAATACAATGAATGTGCATCTTACCAACCCTGTCACGGTGCATCACGACTTACAAATAAGAAGCCATTCCAAGAGCAGATATTCCAGGATTCCCACCTCTCCACCAGCCTCTCACTTCTTAACACCCCAGGTCAAAACATCCAGTACCTTTTGTAAGTCATTCCGCTCAGCCCAAGTCTTCAGCTCCAGTTTTTACCAATAGGGCCACTTAAATTGACTCTTTATTCCTTAAATTCTTTGCTTCATAGGTCCTGTCCGTTCTCTCTCAACTGAAGGCAAATTCTCCCAAGCATACTGTTTGATTGTTAACTTAAAAAGTCCTCTTTCTTCTATAACGCTGGCTGCTTTGTCTCATCCTCATATTTCAAAAAACAGCTGTGTTTTTTTTTTCCAAGAATTACTGTGTAAAGGCATGAAGAGTGATGCTTGAAATTTCGATGGTTTCCATTTGATTTTCTCTTCCCATGTCAACCAGATCTCTCAGACATGTCTCTGAGCTGGGGTGTTTCCAGAGTTCTCAATTTTAAAACACAACCCTCTCAGAAAGTCAGCTTCATAACAGTGTTTTTTTGCCGTTTGGAGCTATACACCTGGATTTGCAATTTTTACTTGGCAAGTGTCCATATTGATCAAAAGCAAATTTTATGTTTTTGCATAAGTAATAGCTTTCAAACAATTCCTGTTTCAGAAACGCATCTTGTTCTAGGCTTTTCTTAGGATTTTCTTCTGCCAAGTCTGATTGAGATCCAAAACTAAGATTGAAGAATCAGTATATCTCAGTTAAACACTAACCCTTAAATAGAGCAAAACCCGTTTGTAAAAGACAAAATGTACCATATTAGGAGCTGTATATCAAATAATGTCAGGTTTAAACACACAAAGCTACAAAATTAATTATCAATATTATACATTTTCCAGGTTAGTTGCAACTATGAGCCACATCTCAGAGGAAATGTGTATGTCCAGTATCAAAAGTAAGTCTGTTTCTATGCTGTTCTGCATTGAGTTTAGACTTTTGGATTTACTTAGCGTCTTTTATATCCCAAGACATTTCACAACCACTAACATTATTTTGTAGTCACTATCAGGTAAGCAAGTTCTGTACAGCGAGGGGCTCATGGACTAAACTGAGATAAGTCATCGATTGGTTGAGGGATAGTGTTGGCTAGGATGCTGGAAGATTTTACAAATAGTGCCATAGGATCTTTTAGATCCATGTATACAAGCAGATGGGACCTCGCTTGTCTGAACCATCTCACCTCAGATCATGCAGCACTTGCTCGTTATGATACTGGGAGTACAACCGGGTTTGGCCTGGTAGTATCTGATGTGGGGCTTCAAACCTGTGAAGTTTTTTATCTGTGGTGGGAGCCAAGTGGAGAAACTATAGCTCAGAAAGGCTTTTCTCAAAATGTTTTTAAATTCTTTGAATTATCTGTATGTCATCCCTTTCTTGCCATGTCGCACTTCTCTGTTCCACTCTTCCCACCTCAATCCTTTTCCGTACTTCTCAGCGATAGTCAGAGTTGCATTCACCACTGTGAATTAGGCCACTCCTTGCAAACTTCCACTCCACCATAAGACATCAGATTGGCAATGGGATATGAAGCTTCATATTCTATGCCTCTGCAGTATACTCTGATGATTGAACTACTGCAAACTATGTATAGATTTCTACCTAGTTCATTCTTTGCTGCTGCTTTGTTGCTAACAGCCAATTGCTTGTGTTTTACCATAGAGAGGAGGAATGCCAACAGGCCTTTGCACTTTTCAATGGACGTTGGTATGCAGGAAAACAGTTGCAGTGTGAATTTTCACCTGTCACTCGATGGAAAACAGCAATATGTGGTTTGTTCTCAATACATTTTTAATTTTAAATTGGTCATTTAATATGTCAGTGCATTTATCGGTTTAACTCAATTGCATATTTGGTAATTGCACATTTGCAATGGTTAGTCAAAAGATTAATGAAAAAATATGCTTTTTGCTATCCAGCCTTGCCTTTGATTCTGTCTTGTTCTAATATACTGCAGTGTCCTCACACAGCAGTTTGCTAGGGGTCTAGAACAGGGTTTAAAATAACTTGACAGCAAGACAGGAATCAGGATGGGTGATTTCAAGATTAGGGGCATATTTTTAACATGAGAGAAGAGAGATTTTTTAAAAAAGACATGAGGGGTAATTTTTTTTTTACACAGACGGTGGTTTGCATGTGAAATGAACATCCTGAGGAAGTGATGGATGCGAGTACAGTTACAACGTTTAAAATATACTTAGATAGAATAGGAAAGATTTGGAGGGATATTGGCATGGACTGATTGGACCGAAGGATTTGTTTCCATGCTGTATGACTCTATGGGGATGTAACATTAGGAGTGGTAAACAAGATGGCACTGCAGTAAGGCATTGTTAAATATTAGATGGTATCAGATAAGGAAGTGCAATAAAGTCTAATTCCTTGTTTTGAGTAAGGGCCACTGGACCTGAAACATTAACTCTGACTTTTTCTTCACAGATGCTGCCAAACCTGCTGGGCTTTTCCAGCAATTTCTGCTTTTGTTCCTGATTTACAGCATCTACAGTTCTTTCAGTTTTTATTAGAGTCTAATTCAGGTTTAGAGTATGGATATAAATGCAGTGCTGGAAGTAAGATCCGTGTTTGTGAGCAGTCACATGGAATTATGATGTTGCAACAGTGATGGAGATCTGGTTCAAAAGGGAGCAGAACTGAGTATTAAATGTTGCAGGTTTGAAGTTATCCAGGAAATAAAGGGCATATGGTAGCAGTATTGATTAAGAAAATAATTACTGTGTTGGAGGGAGAGAGAAGGGAGGGTCACTGGCTGGTCCCTGTCAGTGCACCTTGCCCTAGAAATACACCACAAACTTGTAAGCGCAGAAACGAAGCCTGCACCAACCAAAGTAATCCAGAACATGCCTCCCAGGAATCCTCATCTGGCTGCAGGATAAAAGGTCACTTTGCAGGGTGGTCTTGGGTAATTCCAGGAAAGTTCCTCATCCTGGTAAGAGGGGCAATATAAAACAAAGGGTCAAGTTCTGAAGGGAGTGCAGGCACGTAGAGACCTGGGCTATTTCTGCACAAACCATTCAAGTGCCCTAACCAATGTCCTGTATAGCCACAACATGACCTCCCAACTCCTATACTCCATGCACTGACCCAATAAAGGCAAGCATACCAAACACCTTCTTCACTATCCTATCTTTCTGCGACTCCACATTCAAGGAACTGTGAGCTTGCACTCCAAGGTTCAGCAACAATCCCCAGGACCTTACCATTAAGTGTGTAAGTCTTGCCCTGATTTGCCTTTCCAAAATGCAGCACCTCACATTTATCTAAATTAAACTCCATCTTCCACTCCTTGGCCCATTGGCCTGTCTGATCAAAATCCTGTTGGACTCTGAGGTAACCTTGTTCGCTGTCCACTACACCTCTACTTTTAATGTTGTCTTCAAACTTACTAACCATATCTCCTATGTTCACATCCAAATCATTTATATAAATAACAAAAAGCAGTGGACCCAGCATCAATCCTTGTGGCACACCACTGGTCACAGACCTCCGGTCTGAAAAGCAACCTTACACCTCCACATCTAGGTTTCCTGAGACAAAACCTTGAAAAGGCAATAAAAACATCAAGTATTTTTAAAATTCACTCGTGGGATGCAGATGTCACTGGCTGAAGCAGCATCTATTGCCCCTCCCTAGTTGAGCTTGAGAAGGTGGTGTTGACCTTTCTTCTTGAACTGCTGCAGCCCACATGCAGTAGGTACACATACAATTCCGTTTAGGGATGGAATTCCAGGATTTTGATTGAGCAACAGTGAAGGAACGGTGATATATTTCCTTCAGCATGGAAACAGGCCATTCGGCCCAATTTGTCCATGCTGCCAGTTCTCACAGGTTGTAGGTTACCGTGTATCTGCTGCCCTTGTCCTTCTAGGTCATAGAATTGAAAAGATCATAGAATCCTCACAAGTGCAGAAAGAGGCTGTTCAGCCTGTCGGGTCTGTACTGACCCTCTGAAGATCATCTCACCCAGACTCACCTCCCATCCTATCCCCATAACCCATCTAGCCTGCACATTCTTGGACACTGTGGGACAATTTAGCATAGCTAATCCACCTGACCTGCACATCTTGGACTGTGGGAGGAAACTAGAGCACCCAGTCGAAACCCAAGCAGACATGGGGAGAACATGCAAACTCTAAGCAGATAGTAGTGGCTGTGGGTTGAGAAGATGCTGTCTAAGGATATTTGGCCATTTGGCACTGCTACTGAGCGGCAGTGGTGGAGGGAATGGATATTTGTGCATGTGGTGCCAATCAACCAGGCTGACCTGTCCTGGATTGTGTCAAACTTGAAGTATTGTGTAGCTGGACTCATCCAGGCAAATGGGGGGAGTATTCTATCACACTCTTACCCTTGTGCCTTTTATTCTTGTGCCCAGTATTCTTAGCCTCTGACCTGTCCTTGTAGTAACTGTGTTTATGGGGAGTGTAGTTGGTAACCCCGAGGATATTGATGGTAACACCATTGAATGAATGACAAGGGTGGTGGCTAGATCATCTGTAATACGGACATTTTTCAAGATGCCGCTATTTATTTCCCCACGTTCTATACCTTCCATATCCTTCTCCACAATGAACACTGATGCAAAATACTCATTTAGTATTTCCCCCATCTCCTGCAGTTCCACACATAGATGGCCTTGCTGATCTTTAAGGGGCCCTATTCTCTCTAGTTACTCTTTTGTCATTTATGTATTTGTAGAATCCCTTTGGATTCTCTTCAACGCTTTTTGCCCTCCTGATTTCCACCTTAAGTGTACTCCTACTGCCTTTATACTGTTTAAGGTTCTTGAGTAGATTTGTAGCTCAGGTTGTGGATGCTGTGGTTGGTTCGCTCTCTGAGCTAGTTCGTTAGTTCGCAGACGTTTTGTTACCCTACTCGGTAACATCAGTGCAGCCTCCAATGAAGCGCTGTTGTGTTTTCCAACCTGGTACTTAAACTCTGGGGTCCATTAGATTTGATTACCTCATTTTCAGTTTTCCTTCGTCATTTCCTTCAGAAATTTCTGAAGAAGGGTTCCGACCTGCTTTCCTGCTCCTCTAATACTGCCTGGCCTGCTGTGTTCCTCCAGCTCCACACTGTGTTATCTCTGACTCCAGCATTGGCAGTTCTTACTATCTCCCAGTCTGTCCTCATAACTGAAACTTTCCATCCTAGGGAACATCCTGATGAATCTCCTCTGCACCCTCTCCAATGTAACCACGTCCTTCTGATAGTGTGGCAACCAGAACTGCACACAGTATTCTCGTGGCCTAACCAATGAGTTATAAAGTTGTAACAACTTCTTTGCTCCTATATTCTACACCTTGGCTAATGAAGACAAGCATCCCGTATGCCTTCTTCACCACCCTGAAGGTGCTGACACCTTCAGGGATCTATGGATTTGTGCTCCTAAGTGCCCCTCATTGTGTATATCTTTCCCTTATTAGACTTCCCACAATGTAACACCTCACACTTATCAGGATCAAATTCCATCTGTCATTGCTCTGCCCAGTTTACTAGTTGATCAGTATCAGACTGTATCCTGAGACCATCCTCCTCACTATCAACAACACCAGCAATTTTCATGTCATTTGCAAACTTACTAGTTATACCTTCTACATTCACATCCAATTTGTCAATGTAAATAACAAACAACAAGCGTCCCAGCAGCAATCCCTGTGGTACACCACTGGTCACTGACTTCCGATCACAAAAACAACCCTCCATCATCACCCTTTGCCTCCTGTTTGTAAGCCAGTTTGGGATCCAACTTGCCTTAGATTCCATGGGCTTTTACTTTTTGGAACAGCCTTTCATGTGGGGCCTTGTCAAAGGCTTTACTGAAGTCCATGTAAACCACATCAACTCCATTAACCTCATGAATGAATTAGTAATTTTTTCAGAAAACTCAATTAAAATAGTCAGACAAGATCTCTCTCTAACAAATCCATGCTGATTATCCCTGAATTTCTGTGTTGTTTAATGCTGTCCTCAGAATTTTTCCCAATAATTCCCCTATCACTGGTCTGTAATTACCTGGCCTATCCCTCCTGTCCTCCTTGAAAAGGAACCACATTAGCCATCGTCCTGTCATCTGGCACTTCGCCTGTGGCCAGCGAAGTACTAAATATCTGCCAGGGCCTCAGCAATCTAATTCCTTGCGCCCCCACCCCCCCCAAAAAAGAACAGCCTAGGACACATCTAATCAAACCTGGGGATTTGTGCACCTTTATGCCAGCTAAAACATCTAATGCCCCTTCCTTATTAGTCTTAACATGTTCTAGAACCTCACCATTCCAAATGAAATCCGTTACTACAATGTCTTTCTCCTTTGTGAATACAGACGAGAAATAGTCAGTTATGATCTCACCCACGTCCTCTGGCTCCATGCACAGGTTGTCCTTTTTGTCCCTAATAGGTCTCACTTTTTCCATGGGAATTCTCTTACCCTTAATATACTTATAAAAATCATTGAGGTTTTTCTCGGTACCATCTGCCAGAGGTATTTCGTGGCCCTTCTTTGCCCAGCTAATTTCCTTTTCAAGCAACCTCTTACACTCTCTTTACTTCTGAAGGGCCTCTCTTGTTTTTAATGTTAACATATGCTTCATCCTTTTTCTGTATCCCTTGATCCAGGGTTCAGTGGACTTGCTGTCCTTGTCCTTCACTCTTAGGTGAACACGCTAGCCCAAAAGACTTGCACATTCCAAATAAAAACCAAAAGAACTGTGGGTGCTGTAAATCAGAAGCAGACACAGAAATTGCTCTAAAAGCTCAGCAGATCTGGCAGCATCTGTGAACTGAAATCAGAGTTAATGTTTTGGGTTTGGTTCTGAGGACAGGTCACTGGATCGGAAATGTTAACTCTGATTTCTCTCCACAGATGCTGCCAGACCCGCTCAGCCTTTCCAGCAATTTCTGTTTTTGTTCCACTTTCCAAATGTAGATTTAACTACAGCAGTCGCTCCTAGTCGATGTTTGCCAGATCCTGTATAATGACATTGAAGTTAGCTTTCCCCCAGTTTCCTCACCACCTTATCCCTTTCCATAATAACTTTGAAATTTACAAAGTTATGGTCACTATCCCCAAAATGCTGGCCCACTGAATCTTCACTTGAACAGCTTCATTCCTTATGATTAGGTATAGCATTGCCACAACTCTAGTAGGACTATCCACAGACTGGTGCGAGCAGCTTTTCTGGATGCACCCAGTCTAATCCTTTCAGTTGAAATCCCCGACAACCATAACCCTATTCCTCTCACACCTTTCTGTGATTTGCCCACATATCTGCTCTTCCATCTCCCTATGACTGTTGGGAGGCCTGTAGTAGAATCCCAGCCAAGTAATCGCCCTTTTTTATTTCAAAGCTGTACTCAGATGGCCTCATTTGAAGTGCCTTCTAGGACATTCCTCCCTCATTACTGTAATGATGGTTTCCTGAATCAATAATGCATTTCTCCCACATCTCTCCCGTCTCACCATCATGCCTGAAACTTCTGTACCCTGGAATGTTGAGCTGCCAGTCATGCCCTCCCTTCAACCATGTCTCAGTGACTGCAGCAATATTACATTCCCACATACTGATCCATGCTGTAGGTTTATCTGCCTTACCAGACAAACTCCTTGCATATGCTCACCGTTTCCTATGGAATCTTTTACTTTGACATCCTTTCTTAAACCTGCTTCATTACACATCACCAAATCCAAGATGGCCTGATCCCAGCTCCGATCCACAAACTCTTGTTCTAGGAGATCGTCCCAAATATGAATTCATACGAACTATGAATTCTTGGTGGCTACCTTTATCAATCTGACTCTCCTAACCCATGTTAAAATTAAAATCTCCCGTGATGATGTACTACCTTTTTTTAACAAAACCTCATTGTCTCCTGATTTATTCTCTGGCCCACTGTATAGCTACTGTTAGGGAGCTTATAGACTTTTACTAGTGTTGTCTTCCCCTTTCTGTTTATAACCTCCACGTCTTCTGATCCAAGATCATTTCTTGCTCTTGTACTTATTCCATCCTGTACTAATAATGCTACCCCACCACCTTGCCCTTCATGCCTGTCCTTCAAAAATTTGATTGAGGTGTTCAAAATGAGGAAGGTTCAGGATAGAACAGATAGTGAGAGTCTGTTCCCGTGACTGAAAGGATAGAGAACTCAAGGATGCAGATTAAAAGTGTTTGATTCTTTCATCAAAGGAAATAGGAAAAAAGTGTTTTTATGTAGTGAATGGATAGGATCTGGAATGCATTGCCTGAGGGTGTGATGTTGGCAGGGTTAATCATGGATTTCAAAATGGAATTGGGTTATCAATGAGATTGAATATTTGCAGGGTTACAGACAAAAGGCTCGAGAGTGGGACCAAGTGAATTGTTCTTCTGGACTAGAGTCTATAAACCTATAATCCAAATTTGCTTCATTGAATCTGCCAATCTCTCTGGCTGCCTGAGTTAATAGGTATTAGTCTCTAGTCTTTTATAGGAGATTTCAGTTTCATGATGTGAAATCAGTTTGTTGCTAATTGAATGGCATCAGGTGCCAGTAACCTTTTGCAAAAGTTTAATTAACTCTGTTAACAGGACTCTACGAAAGACGCAAATGCCCCAGAGGAAAACACTGCAATTTTCTCCATGTGTTCAGGAATCCTAACAGCGAGTTCTGGGAGGCTGACCGAGACCTTTACATATCACCAGATAGGACCAAATCCTACTCTAGTAAATACTTTGAGAGGCGTGAAAGAACAAGCTATCGTCACGATTACCACAGTCGATCCAGGAGGCGGTACAGCTGTAGTCCAGACAAGACACATAGAAGGTCTGGAGAGTCTGAAAGGAAACGAAAACGAAGCAGGAGCAAAGATAGGAGACGCTTACAGAGGTCCAGGAGTAAAAGTCAGGACAGAAAAAGATCACGAAGCAGAGAGAGGTACCGTAGAAGCCAGAGTAAAGAAACACGCAGATCTCAGAGGTCTCGAAGCAGAAGCGGAGAGAGAAGGAGATCGAGAAGCAGAGATGGAAGTAGGTGTAGGTCAAGGAGCATAAGTGAAGAACGATCATTGAGCAGGAGTAAATCTAGATCCAGAAGCCGAAGTAAAAGGACAAGCAGAGACCGGTCTGGCAGCAGGGGATTGGGGACAGAGCGATCACGAAGCAGAAGTAAAAGTAAACCACGATCCAGAAGTAGAAGCCCTCTTAGATGGAATAGGAAAAGGAAAAGAGAGTCTGAAAACAAGGACAAAAAAAGCAAAAAGAGAGCAAAGAAAGAGAAGAAAGCCAAGAGCAAGGCTGACGGTAAATCGAAAGGCTCCAAAACAAAGAGGCAGGATGATGAGCACAAGAACTCTCCAGTTAGTCAATTAGAAAAGGATGCACAAATCCCAGCACATGATCCTGAAGCACGAGGCCTCTCCACTTCTCCAAGCACAAAGAGCTCAGCGAGTGATTTAACAGTGCCTGCCAAACTAGAAGAGACCGCTGAAACAGAAGCCGTAAATCAGTGAAGGTAACTTATTTTTTAAAGACATTCAGTTGCATAGTAATACAGACCTCTAGCATCACTGAGAAAAGAATGTTGCTGGAGCTTCTTGCACTCAGCAGGACAGATATTTTGGTGTTTTTGCATCTGTCTTATTGAGCGGGAGACAAAAAGCTTCATGTCTTCTTTACAGATGTTGGGTAAAATGCTGTGTTCCTGTTCATCATGTGACAATTGGGATGCTGGCAGAGGGTGCAAGGAGGTTCAGGAAACATGAGGTTTTCACTGATATGGAGATCGGATGAGAATACTGGGATTCCAGCATCAGTGAAGAAATGGGTTGTGGGGGTTTAGGGGCTCAGTGGGAATGACAGATGGTCGGTGACTGAAGGGGCACTGTGTGGATGGTGGGATACACATCAGCAAAAGTGGTGTGGGAGTGACAGGGGAATAGTCAGTGAAGAGTGACCTTTGGGACTGGTGAGCATTGTTAAAACTCAGTGGGTGCAGTACAAGAATACAGGAACCAGGTTTCTCATTGAAATGGTTGGTTAAAAAATGAATTCCAAAATGCTGATGCCATGAATAATTGTAAAACGGAATTGAATGGTGCTTAATGATATAGAAGGTATAGAGTTACAGAATTAAGCACGGCTGCTCTTTCAGTGAATCAACAGATCACCTCTTGTTGACTGTAAATAAGCTTTTAAATTTTGAAAGACAATTGCTTTGTGATACCAAATTAAACATTGCTTCCTTTCTAAAGTTAAGTTTTCTTGGATTTCAGACTTAATGCGTGCACGTTGGTAAGCTCTTCTGAATCACTTACAGCAGCTCTGATAAGACAATGTGATCATGTCAAATCTCAGTAGCTTTAGGGAAATGAAATTGGGGCTCATACATGTCATTTAGGAACAGGATGAGATCCTTCAGCCCCTCCAATCAGCTCTACCACTCAATAAAATCATGGCTTATGTGATTGTGGCATCAATCCCATATTCCTGCCTACCCCATTACTTTTAACTCCTTTCTAAATCCAGAATCTATCTACCTCTGTCATAAAGTACTGTGGCCCCTTGGGAGAGATAGTTCCTAAGACTCATGACCCTCAGAGAGAGAATTCTTCTTCACCACTATCTTGTGGGAAACATCCTTTCAACATTTCCTTATCAAGTCCTCTTAGGATCTCTTTGTTTCAATAAGGTCACCTCTAATTCTAATAAACTCCAATGATTATAGGCCCAGCTTGTTCAAACCTTTCCTCAAAATAACCCCCTTCACTCCACCCCACTCAGTTGAATGAACCTTCTTTGAACTGCTTCTAACACATTTACATCCTTTCTTAAATAAGGAGACCAAAACTGTACACTTACTTAACCTATCTCTATCCTTTTGCAATCTCATGTCAGTCTTCACAACATACATTCCTAACTATCTTTTTATTATCAGCAAATTTACTTACCAGACAGTTGGTCCCTTCATTCAAAGAAAATAGAACAGTACAGCACAGGAACAGACCCTTTAGCCCACAGTATTGTGCCAGACATGACGCCAGATTAATCCCTTCTGCGTGCCCTTGGTCCATGTCCCCCCTTTCCTTGCATATTCATGTGCTTACCTAAAGCCCCTTAAACATCCCTGATGTATCTGCCTCCGCCACTACCCCCGGCAGTGCATTCCAGGCACCTACTACTCTGTTTAAAAGACTTGCCCTTCACATTTCCTTGAACTTTCCCCCTCTTACTTTGCTGCCCTCTAGTATTAGACATTTCAATGCTTGGGAAAAAGATTCTAACTCAACCTTATCTATGCCTCTCATAATTTGACAGACTTCTATCAGGTTTCCCCTCAGCTTCCGCTGCTGTGGAGAAAGCAACCCTAGTTTGTCCAGTCTCTCCTTATAGCTTATACCCTCTAATCTAGGCAGCATCCTAGTAAACCTCTTCTGCATCTTCTGCACCCTCTCCAAAGCCTCCACATCATTCCTGTAATGTGGTGACCAGAATTGAACACAATACTCTTTTAAATGCGGCCTAACCAAAGTTTTATAAAGCTGCAACATCACTTCTGACTCTGATACTCAACACCCGACCAGTAAAGGCAAGCATGCCATACGCTGCCTTTATTATCCTATCTACTTGTGTGGACACTTTCAGGGAGCTATAGACTAGGACCCCAAGATCTCTCTGTACATTAAGAGTCCTGTCATATACAGTTATACATTTCCTCAATATTTGATCTCCCAAAGTGCAACACCTTACACTTAATCAGATTACACTCCATTTGCCATTTCTCCACCATATCTGCAACTGATCTATATCCTGTGATATCCTTTGACAAACTTGTGCACTATACACAACTCTCCCTTGTTGTTTATTTAATTGTAAATAATTGAGGCCTTGACCCTGATCACTTTGGCACATACCACTTGTCACAACCTGCCAACCCCAAAATAATCCATCTGTTCCACACTGTTTTCTATTTGCCAACCAGTCCTCTGTTATATTTTGAGTATTAACCTTTTGAGGCACCTTGTCAAATACCTTGTTGATATCTAGCTACAATACATCTACAGGTTCCCCTTATGCTGTTTTTTTACTTCCTCAAAGAATTCTTTAAAAACACTGGATGAACATTATTTTTCTTTCTCAAAACCACGTGCACATGACTGAATGTGTTAAGACTTTTGATTTGTCTTGCTATCACCTCGTTAATAGATTCCATCATTTGCCCAGAGACAGATGTTAAGTTAACTGAACTGTAGTTTCCCGTCTTCCTTCTTTCTTGAACATAGCCACATTTGCTATTTTCCAATTTGATGGGATCCTTCTAGAGTGTAAGGAATATTGGAAAATTAAACCCAAAGCATCTACAATCTCAGCAGCCATTTTTTTTTTTTTAAACACTCTAGGATGATGTCCATCAGGGCCAAAGGGACTTGCCTGTTATTAGTTCTAATAGTTTTCTCAGTAATCTCTTCCCTAGTGATTGTAATTGCTTTTAAGTTCTTACTTCCTTTCAGTTCCTGATTTGCAGTTATTTCTAGGAAATTATTTGCATCCTCCATTGTGAAGGAAAGTGTGTTTAAAAGGTAATTATTTTTAATTTATGTATTTCAGAATTGAGACTGAACCTAATCTAGAAGCTTGTGAAAAGTGAAACTGCATTGATCAACTACAAAATTGAGAAAGACTACACAAGGGGACAATGCACAAACTCCATTTATAATACTTCTCGCTTGTCTGTTATATACATTTCATTTTATATTTATTTTGATAACTATTAAACTGTCACCAGTTCACGCACTTAAAACTGCCAGTTTAAAGTTAATTGTGGCTTGGTAGTAATCTGTGCCTGATGTAGTCAAATTGTTATTTTGTTTGTTGACTGCAAAATAATCAGGCCAACTACAGTTTACAGTATCTGCATTATACATTCTGTCCAACATGAGACCTTTGTTAATGAGCTATACTGTGTGTATATATCATAATATTTTGTAAAAGCAGAATACAGGATTTGAGAATTTACTTTTGGAAGCATTTTGTGAAGTTTCAAATTCCATCAAGGCCATTGTGGGAGGGAAGAGCTGAGGAATAAGGAGAAGTTACTGTTCACTTTGGATGACAGGCTACTCAACCCATGGATAAAGATCTGATGATCCTCATGTCCACTTAGAGGGTATAGGTTTAAGGTGAGAGGGAAAAGATTTAAAAGAGACCTGAGAGGCAACTTTTTCAACATAAACAGTGGTGCTTATGTGGAATGAGCTAACAGGGGAAGTGCTGTATATCTTTATGAAATGTGGGAAGTAATATTCATGGCCCACACATACCAGACAATGACCATCTCCAATAAGACAGAATCTAACCATAACCCTATTCAATTACATTAATGCTGCATTCCCCATTATCAACATCCTGAGGGTTGCCATTGCACAGGAACTGGACTACCCCTATGAATACAGTAATTACAAGAGCAGGTCAGAACAATAGGTAATGGCGATCCCATACAGTTAGTGCCATCCTTCTGGGCAATAGACAAGGGCTTGGAAAGTGTTGAACAAACTTTGGTAAGCAGTATGGCAGAGCTTCGATCTAATCCATTACCAGTGGTATCACATCTTTGGTGACTTGCATGTCAAACAGCTCAAGCTGTATGTTGTGGCTTTACCAGGATGCTGCTTCAGGCTCCTTTGCTTTTCATAATCCAGTTAATGACACTACATTTTGTATCTGGTACATTTCAGAAGGTGGAGTGATTTTTTTAAGACGGATGGCTTTGTATTGAGCAAAGCTGAATATTGAGTGTCATAGTTGGATTTGTGAGGAAGTGAAATGTATTCCATTACATTCTTCACTTGTAAATAGTTGTCTGGTTACTGCAAATATCCCTACATATTCCTCCATTGTCTACTTTAGTCAGTTCTTAGATATATTTCAATTACATGTGCCTATCTATTACAAATCCACACTGATCTGATCAACTGAAACATTCCAACAATGTTCAGTCACCCTAAGTGAATTGCTAGAGTCTATAATTGAGCAAATGATGTATTACAACTGATCTATAAGCCCCTGGTTTCTCCCCTTACCTTTGAAATATCAGTGAGCTACATCAATCTAAAAGAACAACCACAGCTACTTGCCACCAAGGCTTGGAAAACAGAGGGTAGACAATTACCAACTCCGAGCCCAGTCACCATTGGAACATCCTACATCTCCTGTCCTTGCTAAAGTGCTCAAAGGCCACCAGCAATCCCAACAACTGGAAAGCCAAACAGGATCTGCAGATAAAAGGGAATGAAGCACAGAAACTCTCCATTAGTAGTGTACATATCCCAGGAAGTGAACAGGTCACTGAAGCAACACAAAGCAAACTGACAGCTTTTGTGGTGATTTATAGTGTCTCCACTAATGTTCTCTCTAATTTTTGCTAAGCATGGGCAGACTTTGAGTGGTCTGAGCAGTACATACAAGCCAGAGTATATGGCAGAAGACGATGGACCATAGGTTTTTGTTAAATGGTTGCACGTAGCTTTCTGTGCTCTGGACTGGAGGCCTGTTATCAGTGGTGTTTCACAGGGATTGGTTCTGGATCCTCTTCTGTTTGTCATTTATATAAATGATTTGAATGAGAATACAGAAGGCATGGTTAGCAAGTTTGCAGATGACACCAAAATTGGTGGCATAGTAGACAGTGAAAGTGGTTTCCTAAGATTACAAAAGGATCTTGATCAAATGGGTCAATGGGCTGAAAAACAGAAGTTAAATCTGGATAAATGTGAGGTCTTGCATTTTGGTACAACAAACAAGGGTAGGGCTTATACAATTGATGGTAGGGCCTTGGGTAGCAGAAGACAGGGACCTTCTTCGAAGTTTGCATCACATACCAAGAGTGGTTAGAAAGAAAGGAGTTTGGCACGCTTGCTTTCATTGTTTATTCCTGTACTCAAAGGACTGAGCAATGTACGGGACACTGGTGAGGCCTCTTCTGGAACACTGTGTCCAGTTCTGGTCACCCAGTTATAGATAGGATTTTATTAAGCTGGAGGGGGTTCAGAAGAGATTTACCAGGATGTTGCCAGGTTTAGAAGCAGAAATCTAGAAGACAGGAGGCCATTCAACCCTTCAAGCCTGCTTTCTCCCCCTAACCTTTGAATGTAGTGAAGAGGTGACTAGATATAACTCTTGGGCTGAATGGGATCAATGTTTTGGCATTAATTCCTTCCTGTGGTAATGAATTCCACAGGCTCATCAATGTCTCCTCATCTCTGTCCTAAATCGTATAGCCCAAATCCTCATACTGTGATCCCTGGTTCTGGACACATCCACCATCGGGAACATCCTGTTCAGTCCTGTTAGAATTTTAGAAGTCTCTGAGATCCATCCTCCAACCCCGCCCCCTCCATTCATTTGAACTCTAGCAAAAACAATCCCAACCTCGTCAATCTCTCCTCAAAGGTCAGTCCCACCATCCCCAGAATCAGCCTGGTAAACCTTCGCTGCACTCCCTTGAGAGCAACAACATCCTTCCTCAGAAAAGGAGCCCAAAATTGCGCACAGTATTTCCAGGCTCTGTACAACTGCAGCAATACATCCCTGCTCCTGTACTCAAAACCTCTTGCAATGAAAGCCAACACACCATTTGCCTTCTTTACCGCCTGCTGCACCTGCATGTTTACCTTTAGCAACTGGTGCACAAGGACACTCAGGTGCTCCCAATTTCCAGCCAACATTGTGAGTTATAAAGAAAGGCTGGATAGGTTTCTTTCACTGGAGCAAAGGAGGTTGAGCGGCAACCTTCTAGAAGTTTATAAAATAATGTGTTAATGGTGGTTGTCTTTTCACAAGGATGGGATTTGAAGACTAGGGGGGACATTTTTAAGGTGAGAGGAGAGAGATTTATACAATACATGGGGGCAAATTTTTCTTTAGGACAGGGGTGGTTCACATGTGGAATGAAATTTCCAAGGAAGTGGTGATGTGGGTACAATCAGATCATTTAAAAGACATTCAAATAAGTACATGGATAGGAAACATTCAAAGGGATATGGACCAGGAGCAGGCGGATGAGACTAGTTTGGGATTTGTACCAACATGGACAGGTTGAAGGGTCTGGTTCCATGCTGTATGATGAGCTACAAAGTCCAGATTCTCACACCACCTGTCAAGTAGGGCATGCCTCAACAGGTTGATTAGAAATGCTTAAAAAACAAAAAGCATAGTCCTTGCTTCTGTTATACGTCCCTGGGAATTTTGATATTTTTATAGATGTATTCTTAAGAAGGGTTTTGCCCAAAACGTCAGCCTTCCTGCTCCTCTGATGCTGCTTGGCCTGCTGTGTTCATCCAGCTCTACACCTGGTTATCTCTTGATATTTTTATAGCTAGTTTTATGTTGGAAATGCATCAACTGCTATTACAACTAATGAGTTACAGCTACACATAATATCTAGTCATTCCATACTGCACATTTTCATGAACAGTAATATTCTTCCAATAATAATGCTGGCCACAATCCACTGCTGAAAATAGGGGACCTACAGATACACAGCCATCATTTTGGGTGCCTACTCTTCTGTTAACAAATTCAATTTATTTTCTTTGTAGTAAAAACAAATTCTTATCAGTGCTCACCCAGGTTAAATGCATCAAGTGGCCAAGAAGTGCCACAATAATGTCTTTGAACCCATTCCTCCAAAAGAAGAAATAGTAAATACCTAAAATTTACAAACTATGCAGCTAGCATCAGGAATTGTACATCACAGGCAGACTACATAAAATGTGATTCTGTATGGTTGAAATATATTTCACAGTACATAAATCAGCTGAAGTCCTCAAGTTTAAATGTACACCAGATTTCTTTTCATGTTAGTGAGGACATTTATTTTTCAGTCTTGTACATTGATGATATAACACTTTCACTCCTGTTTTCATGGAAAATGAAGGCATTAAACCATTGGACAACCACCTAGCTTTACACCAGCACTGGCTAGTCAGGAGCATTTAAACAGCTAAAACTCGCTACATTTTTGCAGAACGCAAATCAGTTAAGCTATTGAATAGTCAACCAAAATTAAAACTTGAGACACCTGTTTGAACAGCTTGATTTGGCTTGAAGGAGGTTCAAAAACAAACATCAAATAAATCATCTCAGTTCAAGAAAATGCAAACATGATTTGGAAAAAAAGTCAAAATTATTCACCACTATTGAAAACTACCATTACTTGTTTTGTAAATTGAAAATACTTTCAATTTTTTTTACATATTCAGAATAGCAAAATTATGAATCTGTGCTGAACACAGTATATAGTTTTTTTTTTTAAAAAATGTAAACATCAGTACAGCTGAAATCTTCTACTTCTGATGAGAGGCAGTAATGCCAGATAGAAGTGAGGCTATCAGACCGAAAAGCTACAGCTAACACACAATATCAAAAGTTATCCTAGCTCAAAGAAAATTGAATTTTCCTTTAATATGATTTAGTTCAGTGGTATACTACAATCCCTTTCCTCCTCTCCTTTACATTTCCTCATGCTGAACTGATATGTGACCCTTAAAGACAAATCAGATCAAAATTATTAAAAATACAAACTAGATCAAGCCCACAAATGTAGGCAGGACAATTGTATTTAAAAAATAAATTGTTTAACAAAACACAAAAATAGTTGTCAACACTGGTTGCTTTGGTATATTCTGAACTTTTGATTTTGAGCATATACTGAGATTGAACATGTGAGAAACAAAAGAAAATCACATGGCACTCACGAATCCAAAGATGAGTATTGACTTTGGCAAAAAAGGAGGGTAAACTTGGCATTTGACAGAAACTGATAAGAAACACCTATGTCCAATTCCTTGAGCCAACGAAACAGGAACATCAGGAGGTTTTTAAACAGACCCACTAGTTTGCAGCTTGGATCAAATAATGGTCACATTACTTAAGTAGTCATTTAAAGTCTTCATTCTGTCAAACCATTGAATTTGAGCCAAGCCTCCATTGAACTCAAATATTGATTTCAAAAATATATTGTTTCCCTTTTTAATCTTCTTATAATGAAAAATGTTTGCAAGTTCAACTTCTGCTAACTAAAATACACAAAACAAGAGACAGTTTCCTGCAATAGTAGCCATACATCACAATTAAAGCAGTGAAATCTAGATCAGAATATTTGGGGGAACATTCACTTTAACGAGACATTTATGTGAGTCCAATTTCTTCCAGCACGCTACGAGGAGTCTCAGCTTCCTGTGGAGGCAAAATTAAACATCTTGGTAATCAATTTTAAACACAAAGAACAAGTGTCGGAGTCAAATTTTTTGTGCGAGAAAGGGGAAAAAAATTGCAAATGAGAAAACAAAGAATCACGAGAACAAGATGGTATGCTTGAGAATGTCATGTATAAAATTTAACAAAATGCTTTTCTGCTTCAATTTCAAAGTTATTTTCTCCCATCCCATCTTTAGTGCAATGTTGCACCATTGCATGGTATTGATGACAGTGAGGATGTTTTTATTTCTGGAACCTGGCACTCAGGAAGTGGGGAATGAACAGGCTGCAGTGACATGCCCTATTAACTTGCTTAATGAGACAAAAATCTGGTTATTGCTTTGCATTCCCCCATTAATAAACTGAACCAAGAGCAATCCCTGTATGGAGGACAGAGTTCAAACCCAGATAATAGGACACCAATGCTAATGAGGGGAGAAGAGACCGTAGGTTTCCAAAAGCAGTACATACTTTACAAAGAGAATGACTGGGTATTAGTCAGAAGGCTTTAACACACTTGGAATTCATAGGCAATGCAAAATTACAACTTACTTTTGCATCCTAATTAGGGGCGTGGCAAAAGGACAAGAAAGAAAAAATATAAGCATGCTGAAGTTAGTTGGAAAGCATTTTTATTCAGTTATCTACAGCATTTCATGCCCATAATTTGAGGGCAGGGAAGATAAGGTCAACAAAGGAAGAATTTTAGGGTGGGAGGTGTGGAGTGTGTGGCATCACAAAAATAATTCTGCACACCACAAGATGACAGTATTAGTTTTGATAACTCAAAGAAATCCTGCACTCTAATAATTTTTAAAAGATTCAGAAGTTTAAATTAGTATAGAAAATTATAATAATGGAGAGCTTTTATTGTACTCCTTAAATAACCCAAAGGAATGCTTCAGAAGTGATGCTAAATGAGAGTGAATAGTGATAACACTAACAGAATCAATGCTTTCTATTTTATGTTTGCCAAAACGTCAACTTATAACTTTTTCAACAAAACACTGCAACAGTCATTCTGCATGTACTGAAAACATTGGCAGCATGAGGCAGGTAGAATATTCACACGTCAAGTGTGTTGTCATAATGTGGGGAAAGAACGTGTTCACAGATGGTCCATTCAGTGTGCCCAATCGCAGCTGGTTTGCCTGTGGTGAGGCATCAAGCACCTGCTAAGTACCTGCTGCAGAGGGAAGAGTCACCACGGGTTGCTCTCTCAGATCGCTAAGTTGAAGGGTTTGCTTTACATTAAAATGCCCATTTACCTAGCTGCAGGTGAATTGAAAACATTTTACTTCAATGATCGCTTCCTTTACCTTTAAGTCAACTCATTCTTTTCTGCAATGACACAGATGGGCATGAATATGAAAACAAAGTTAAATTGAAAGATGGGAGTGAAGGAGCTGCAAACAAAATCTGAAGTGCCAAGTAGTTCAAGGGACATCCAATGCTGGGCACTACTCTAAATAAACATTCAGCGAATAGCACCACAAATATTTACAGCTTGACCGAATCGACAAGGATGACCAAATTGGATATAAATCATGTGATAACCTCTTTAATCAGCACTGTCCAGGATTCTCAAATTTAAACTGAACTAATTAATTCTATAGCAGCAATAGTTTAAACATGTTAGTTATCCCATTAACAGAAATATGTTTTATAAGTCAATTAAATTAGTGATTTGCAAATGGTCTCCTTTACTCAAAGTAAACAGTTAATTAAATGAAATAATTCTGAGATACAAGCCCAGCCAATGGTTGCTAGGGCTTTAATCTGATGCAGAATGCAGGCAGACATGAGTATTTTCAGTTCTGTCTGGTGCCTAACACCTGCTTAGTTCCATTTGAGCCCCTGCCAGAGTAAAGCAGGCACAGCACAGAGTGTGGGCATGAATTAATACGAATTAATTGAACTTCCAAGCATTATTACTCAGGTCCAAGAAAACAATGAGAAAATGTCAGTTATGTCACAGGACTCTCCTCTTAACATGGCCATTACAGGAACCATTTCGTGTCAGGTCTGAATTTTTCTGTGTACTGTACTGCTTAGCTCATCAAGAGTCAAAACAGTGTAATGATACAGAAAACTTGCATACAATTTTCTATCACAATCTCAAAAGGTATAATTCAATAATTTTGGATTCAACTTGAAGCAGAACATGTTTCATTGTGTCTTTTTAAAATAAAATTTATTAATGCTGACTTATTGAATGCATTGTGCTTTGAACTGGTGAGCAAAACATGAGCCTGGTATCTCTGCATTTGACACTACAACTTCTGAGCTACCCTAATTGGATTCACAAGAAATGTCTCTTGTAAAGTAGGCTGCAGAATTCAAACACATAGAATGCCTGCACAAACCATGAACTTATTGTCTTTGACAGCACCTTTAAAACTGTAGCCTCAACCACTTAGAGCAAATTCAGCAGTGCATACAAGTGAGTACCACCACCTGCAAGCTCCCTATCAAGTCACACTCATCAGCTGGACTTGGAACTTAGCACTGTTCCTTCACTGTCATGGGTCAAAATCCTGTAATCCTCTTGAAAAGCACTGCGAGTTGCCCCACACAACACGGACTGTTGCATTTCAAGACAGCTCATCACCACCATCTCCAGGGCAATTAGGGATAGGCAATAAATGTTAGCCTAGCCAGCAATGCCCACATCCCTCAACCAAATAAAGAAAAGCAGGTACACTGGACAAGAGGCTTGCCATTTTCCTGCATGGAGCCGTATATGAAGACACCTCTCTGAATTTCAGGAAAGGCAGACTAGAGGAACAATAATTCCTTCAACTGAAGGAATTCTCACCATGAAAAGGTTTTGGTATAATTTTAAATTGGCCGACAGTCCATAAATTTGACAACTTCTGATAAAAATTTAAGCTCAGCTTGTTTTTATTAGATAAATATGATTTGGAAGGGATTATCACAGATTGCCATGGCTTCACAGGTTAATCTGGGTAAAAGCTTGGGATAGCTCTCTCAAGGTCTCATCTCTTATGAAGTAGCATTAAGGCCAATTCACCTGACAACCGGGTATATAAAAATAGGATTATTCATTTTAAATAAAGGGTCGCTAAACATTAACTCTGCGTTCTCCGCACAGATGCTGCCAGACCTGCTGAGTTTTTCCAGCAATTTCTGTTTTATTCATTCATTTTAATAACTATTTTAATTTGGGTGCCAGCATTTAAAGCCAAAACATTAAATTATTTGCAAACATCGAACAACTGCTTCTTAGTATATGTTACTTCATTTGTTACAGGGAAAAAAGGAGCTAAACGACCATATGGCTTACAGAATCTAAATAGAATTTACTAAGCTTCCCTCCCTGACTGGTGGATAATTAGTTTAACCAGAGCAGTGATGTGCAATAATCTCCGACGTTAAAGCCAAACCTTGGATGGCCATGAACGTGTAGGATGAAAGTAGAAACTATGGAAACCGATAAATGACATGTTAGAACAAGGTTACGTTTTATATTCATAGACCTTTGAAGGCAGGTGCTGCTGCTGTTCATCATGACCATGATCATTCAGCATTGTCACCATTTCTAATTAGTAAAACACCTTAAATACACAACAGATTAGCAATTAGAAGCAAAGATGCATAGAAATCATAGCCACAGAAAACAGCATTTGATGCATGCAGGAAGGTTTTTATTTATAACATGCCAGAAGCGTGCATTTTATAAAACATAAGCTAAAGCAAGCTGTTACTTACAAACACTAAAACCATTAACAGTTTCAATCTGCTCAACGCACAGCAATAAATGCCAAAATTCAGTCACAGCAGAACTCAGAACTAACATTAGTGTAAAATATATACGTTTAAGAAAGTCGGAAGTTTGAATTTTAAAAGCAGAAATGATCCCTGAAATGCACCTTCATTCATGGAACTGTAATACTACCTTGTCTAGGATAATACTTCCTCTTCTCCACCCCATCTACACAAAATGAGGAACTACTGCTGTCCTAAATAAAGCTATCAATATATCAATAATCTGATTATATGGAAACACGATGTTAAATATTCATTTTTGTACCACTAGAAATTAAAACAAATATGATTATTATAATCAAAGTAAGTGATTCTGAAAGAGTGTTCAGTTAGTCTGTGACGATTAAAAGATTTGCTTGCATCTACATCAACTCATTAGGAGCATAGCTTATATCTTCCATCAGTGAATACTGAAGAGGTACAATCCACAGTTCCTACATTCATTTCATTGCTCAGATTTCAAACCACCTATGTGGAGATGAATCAAGAGGTTGTTTCACAAATGTGAATTTCAGGATAAGGGCAAACTGACTGAAATGGAACTGGGAGTATTTTGGGTGTGCTCACCTGCAATCATCTGGATGGTCATAGAAACTGACAGAATTGAGCACATCTGAAGGGGTTAATAAGTGGAGTAGCTTTTAACTTCACAGCTTTCAGGTATTGATCTAATGCCTGAGAAAGGCATACAGACAGTTGCTGCACATGCCAAAAGGATAATAGTATTGTAGATCAATTATTTACTAAAAGCAGAAGCAATCTCTTTCAGGACATGGGGACTGGGAAAGCAAAAAGAAAATGCACAATGTCAAAGGCAACACCTCCTGAACCTGCAACAGACTCCATTAAATTGAGTACATTGCTACCAGAAATGACATTGTACTTTTTTGTAAAGCAGTTAGTGTTAAGTTTACTTAGCATGAGTGAAATGACTTTACTTCAAAGCTTCCAAAAGCAATACAAATACAATTAAACCTTGTTAATAGAAAAATAAATGCTGCAATAAATACTGTTAAATATCAACAATATTAGTTAACATATCTCTAAAACAGGAACAGATGTATATTTTAGGTCATGGTTAATGTTACCTATTGCTCGGACACAGTGAAACTGGTTTCTGGAAGGTTTGCATCAAATGTTGTTTTTCCTGATCAAGTCTAATTTAATGGGATTTTGCACAAGCTTTTAGA